CAAAGTTCCCAGCAACCCAGGGTTCTAATGAAGACAAACCGCTTGGAGTACTTGGATTGTGATTCTGGGGTCTGGCCGCTCTACATGGATGGCTGCCATGTCTAGTCCGGATGTCATGACCGTCTGGATGAAGAAGAAATGGACGATACAAGGCGGTATGCCACGGAAGCACGGCATGTGGTTTGCATAACGGCCAAAGGGATGGTCTTTTGTCCTGAGAAAGTGTTGCTCGGTGGCTAGATCCTGTCCCAGGAACGCTGGCGACATGCCAAACGGCACGCTCGCGACGTCTAGCAAGCCCATGTCCTGCGCATGCTGCAGCAGCCTAGGCGGAAACGCGAGTTTGAGTGCAAACTGCTCAATCGGGTTATCCTCGAGACAGAAGCCATAGCCGAGGAGCAGCTCATCATTCTGTTTGGGAGCGTAATTGTTGAATAGTTCCTGTCCGGCAGTAAACGTTTCGCCAGCTTGACATTTGAGTGCAAAAGATTGATGGGGCTGGAAATCCCATTCTACCCTGGCAGTCGGCGAATGATTGAGAATGTCGATGACTGGGAAGAGGACAGGCACAGTCTCTTGGCCTGGCAAAATGTGCGTTGATATGAATGCGCGTGAGGTGAAAATGGTAGCGGCCCAGAAGAGCGAGTCGCTGATACGCGTCAGCAATTTGCTCGCGCGTAAGCTGACCTTGCAGTATGCGCCGTGGCTGCGGTCAGGAGGACGGGAGCTCTCATTCGACTCGAGCAAAGCACATCTGATTGTCATCTAGTCGGAGCATTCCTCCATAAACACCGACCTGTTTCGGGACCGACGACACGACAGGACGCCATCTTTCGATCCCGCCCAGTTCGCACACGACTTACATGGTGAAGGCGGCAAGAGGAATTGCAAGCTCATGGAATACAGCGACTACATTGTCCCACTCCCTGCACAGGTCCCGTTTTCTTTCTTGGGCAGCAGGTGCTAGGCCGGTGCCAGCCAGGAAAGCGGCATCCTCCTCATGGAACCACAGAGGTGTCGTCATACTTTCTGGCCCTGGTAGACAAGTAATGTAAGCGTGCCATGGGGAAGCAGCGCCCCTGTTGCGTTGCTCGATGAGCAGAAGATGGGCCAAGATATGGTCAGGAATCTTCCCTCGACAATGCTGCAGGGTGCTGTCAATAGGCAGCACTTGGTTCCTGTCGGATTCTAGATTGAGAATCGAAAGGGAGAGTCTCAGGGGACAAGAGAGCAGAAGAGCAGCGTGCAATGGGCCCTTGGCTAGCATGTGAAAGCCATGCGAGTCATTGTAGACGACCTCCACATCCGGACTCACCCATCCTCCGCCTTCCGTGAACCAGGATAACAAGTTTGGAATCGAGGAGGAGACGTCCAGTTCCTGATTTGACATGGGAAGCTGCGGGCCGAGTCGCTGCGTGTGGAGACCGTCGACCGAGAATGTGGATGGCGATCGAGGTCGGCCTTGGCAGGATGAGTGATCAGCAAGGCGGTGTTTGCAGGTCATCGTCGATGGAAGGACGAAACAGGGTGCAGCTGGAGAGGATCAGGGTGGTCGGATGGTCGGTGGTGAGGATGTACAGTAAGGTAGAAGATAGGAAGAGCGGTACGGGATTGGATTTGTCGGACGGGCTGACGCAAGTGTTGGTCTCGGCGTGAAGATTTGGCAGCGCGCGGAAATCGGAAGGGGGCGGAAGCGATGGGAAGCATGTAGAAGAACAAGAACAAGAAGGGGAGTTGATGTCGAGCTCGAACCAGCAAAGTCGGTCCAATGTCGTGCTCGAGCACAGGGTCAGTGTATTGCCAAACGGTTGTTGTGAGGTACAGGATGTAGAGTAGTACGATGCCGTCACTGCACAAAGGGGCCTTGTCTGTGCAGGGTGAGAAGAGGTAAGCAGAGGGTGCAGGGTGAGAAGAGGTAAGCAGAGGGTGCAGGGTGAGAAGAGGTAAGCAGAGGGTGCAGGGTGAGAAGAGGTAAGCAGAGGGTGCAGGGTGAGAAGAGGTAAGCAGAGGGTGCAGGGTGAGAAGAGGTAAGCAGAGTGGTGCAGAGAAAGAAGCCTGTGAGCTTGTAACAGGGCCAATGGCTGTCCAAAGGTCTTGTAGACTGACTTGCCATGATGGACATGCTTATACCGGCAGCTCAGGACAGGATCGTGGATTGTACTCTACAGTCCATGGCTAAGCTTCTTCAAGCTCAGAGGGAAGGGAGGAGGGGGATAAGAGCAGCCCAGCCACCAACAGACATCCATGGCAGCGAGCGATCACACGGGCCTCTCCGCATCAGCCGGATATTCCCTTGCCAGCCTATAAACCAGCATTTGACAATACGCTGTCTACATGTCCATCTACTACATCAAGTGCCTGGAAGGCTGAAACTAGGCGGCCAGTCTTGTGGCGGGAAAGGGGATGAGGATGCGCATGTCCAGATAGGGTTCAGGGCGCACCTAGGCTAATGGGTCATGTGTGTGTGTGTACTCGCCGAATGGTCGATTGTTGCTGAATGGTCGATTGTTGCTGAATGGTCGATGGTTGCTGAATGGTCGATGGTTGCTGAATGGTCGATGGTTGGAGTGGCTGCGTCGGATGGGATGAGGGGATGAATGAGGATGGGTCTTGGCCGGAAGCGGCCACGTCTCGCCCAAACGTCAAAACGGGAAAGCCAGCGGGAGTGACCGGGCTCAGCGGCTTCATGGCCCCCCAAGGAACTTGTACTAGAGCAGCTGGTTACCTAGAGTAGCCTCTTTCTTGTTGCTTTGTGCGCTAGGTTTGCCTACCACAACGAACGAAGCGGACAACCCGCTTACCGGTATTTCGGATGGCAGTTGAAGCTGTTGGACATGCTCACCTCATACCGTACATATATACTGCCAATTGCCCCCCTTCCTCTCCCCCTTGTTCATCCTTTCTAGCCTTAGCTTCGAGAAACTCAGCTGTGGCTTGTAAGTAAGTCAGCCCTGGGCAGCGCCGCCCCTCTTTTTTTCTCTCTCTCCGACTTGACTGGTTCTATTGTGCTATGGATGGCCTGTATGGAGACTAAGGCAGGTAGGCTACTCTAGAGTACCCACCCGTACCTAGAGTCATGTCGTGGCTGGCGTCCAAGTGCTGTTTGATACCCACGCCGCTCCCTCAGCCCTCAAACTTCCAGCGTGCACAGCCCTTTTTTCTTTGTTTCCAGGCGTGCAAGCCAGTGCCAGACCTTGTAGAAAGAACATGGCGTCCAGCGCGCGCACACTACTCTCTGGCTGCCCTGTTCTGCCCGTCGTTGCTGTTGTTGCTGTCCCTCTCCCTCTCGCACTCTCCCTGTCTTCTTCCCCACTACCACCACCTGCCTACGGATAGACACATAGACTCCCTACCTACTCTTACTGACACCACGCTTCAGCATGTCGAGCCGCGCTTTCTAGGGGCAAGCCATGAGCCATGCTGCTGCTGGACATGTTGACGCCAGCCAACGCCGCAGTCAGACACGGCGACACGCCTCCCCTCTCTCCCCCCCACCACCACCATCACCACCACCATCACCACCACCACCACCACCACGATCAAGTCTCTGCCTCGCCCAGAACGCCTGCTTCCTTCCTCGCCCAATTGCCTCTTTCCCTGCTCGGCTCCTATCTCCGACAACAGACCCCCTCACCCTCTTCCGCTCTCCCTTTGGCCTCGTCTGACCAAACCAATCATGTCGACCCTCCGCTCCCTACCGGTACCGGTACCGTCCCTACCGTCCCTACCATCCCTACCGCCACCAGACAGGACTCCAATACACCACTGCCGCAACTTGATGCAATCACACACCACAACCAGGTCGGCTCTTTTGCACCCTCACGCCCCACATCCTCGGCAAGTAGCGCAGCGGACCATGGGCTGCAGAAGAAACGAGCGCCCCGACCGAAGACGTCTTTCCTCTTCGCTAAGCCTGCACATGTGCAGCCCATCCCCCATTCCAAGCTCTACCTTCGACCCAAGGTTCTCTTGCAATTGCACCAGGTCATTGCAGCCCAGCGCCCAAAGCCCGTGTACGAGGTCATTCCCTTTTCCCTCCTTCCTCCACGTTCCACACGCCGCTTTGCACGGTCCTTCAACACACGGGATCGCTTAGGAGCCCATGACCTGTTGATCGTACAGGCAGAAGCCTACACCACCACCAACGAGGGAGACAACAAGTCCGATGACGAGCGCTGGGACACTAGGGAAGTCATAGGCGTCATCAGCCCGGCGAGGTCCGACAAGGGTGTCACGAGAAAGACGGAGATATGCATGAACGATGGGAGGAGCCGCTGGGAAGTATCCGCCATGCCAAACGGGAGCTTCGAGTTCAACACGACGGATCAGCATGGCTTGCCGCTGAAAGCACGCTGGGTGTTGAAGCCCCCGCATCTACGGAGGTCGTCGGGCATGTCCAATGGTGGACCTCTCTCCTCCGCCTTTCCTTCCAGACCAGAGGACAACAAATATACTTTCAGCACAATCGGCGCAGGCACGCGACGCCATCCCGTAATCGCAACAATGACTCGCCTGGGCATTGATGTCATGGATTCCTACGTAATGCCATCAGCGACCTCTCCAGGTACGCCCGGCTCCGTCTCTCCCGGTCTTGCACCTTCCAGCACCGACCTGAACGCTATGATGGATTCATCAAGCACTCCTTTCCCAATCTTCACAGACGATGCGCTTCGGCGATTGATCCTGGTGTCTGCAATCTGGGTCGCGGGCAACAACTACGCTCCTGCCGAAAGTTCCGGCCAGTCCAACCTAGGTCCCTGTGCCGTTTTCCGGCAACCCACACACCGCACCGTTTCCATGTCAGGACTCGACTCACCTCGCTCAGTCTCCCCCGCATCCACCGTAGACGAAGGGCGTCGTTCTATCCACAAGCTGTTCAGCTCCGGAACCGGAAGCCTGCGCCGCCGTACAAGCGTCGAAGTTCCCTCATCCCCGGCCTCAACCAAGACAACTACAAACACTTGTCCTGTAGCAAATACCCGGGGCCGCAGAGCTAGTTCCGACGCGCCTGTCCGCAGCACAACCGGCAGCATGAGAAAGCGGTATGGCGTTGCGTTTGAGCCTCGGGCCCTTTCAGAAGGCGAAGAAGAGCGTCCGCACAGCATAAACCCCCACCCCACCACTGCCCTCACCCTCCCCATCCCCATCGAAAGACCCTCCATGGAATCCTCCCCCATCGACACAAACCCCCCCTCAACCCTACCAACCACGCCAACCCCATCCCCCATCATAATCCCCCCCACCTCCCCCAACCCCACTCCCTCACCCCTCCCCTCCCCCGCCCTCCCAGACCCCTCACGAACCCGCAAAACCCAATCAGCATACAACCCCATCCGCACCACCGGCCTCTGGGACTCTGGCGTCCCCGACCGTCCTGGCCCCCGCTCCCGCCCCACCAGCATGCTCGTGTCCAATGAGCGCAAACGCAAACAGGACGGCAAGGGTAGGCGCGATAAGGTGGAGGTTGCGCAGGATAGTGTGGCGCGGGTTTCTGGGGAGGCGGAGTTTATGGGATTGAGGCGCAGGGGGGATTGGTATCGGTACAAGGTGAAGACGCGGTTGAGGGGGTGGTTTGGGAGGGGAGAAGGGTGAGGGTTGGGGGTTTGTAGCGGGTTTAGTGCGGTTTGCGGGATGTGGTTTTTTTTTGGTTTTTTTTTGAAGGAGTCGCGGCTTTTTGTGCAATGTTTATTGCATTGTGGGGGTTTTTTTTTAAAAGGAGTCGCGGGTTCTTGGGTGAATTTTGTTGCATTGCCGGGGTTTTTTGTTTTGGACAAGGGGCGTTTTGGATTGTGGGAGGTCCATGTACCGTATTCTTGGGACCGTTTTGATTTTTTTTTTAGGGTTTCTGGGTGATTGTGTATCTTTTTTTTTTTTTTGGTCTTTTTTTTTTTTTCTCTCTTTCTCTGTGTGTGTCCCTTGTCTTTTTTCTCTCTCTCTCTCTGTGTGTCCCTTGTCTTACTCCTTCTTACTCCCCTTTACTTGCTCCCTTGTTAGATTATTCATCTTCGTCTATTCAATTGTGTCTCATTCCCCGCTGTTCAACCTACACCACACTACCTACCCCGCACATGGTGTGTCTATTTTACGCTGTAGATTGATGGCATGATGGCGTTTAGTTTGTCGATGCATTTTCCCTGGCTTGGGTTTTATTTGATTTTATATTTAATTTTATATTTTATATTTTCCATTTTCCATTTTCCATTTTCCATTTTCCATTTTCCATTTTCCATTTTCCATTTTTCCATTTTTTTGCAGAGGGGGGTGAGGGACCCGCGGTTTGCGGGTCTTGGTGATGGGTCAGGCTGGGGGTTTGCCATTGTATCTACCGTCCACTCCATTCCCGACTTGGATTCTCCTTGTGGCGGGGGGTCGAGTACCGGTACCGTGGTAGATTGCGAGATGATGTGTGGTGGTGTCGAGTTGGGAAAGATGTGGGTTGCTGTCTGTGATGAAGATTGTGAGGTTGATGGTGGATTGGAAAGTAGAGGATGGGGATGGGGGTTGATATGTCTAGGCTGGAGTGGAGCTTGTGCTGTTGTTTTTGTATCTTTGCGCCAGGGTTGAGCTTGTGCTGTTGTTTTTGTATCTTTACGCCAGGGTTAAGCTTGTGCTGTTGTTTTTATATCTCTACACCAGGGTCAAGCTCGTGCTGTCGTTGGCCACGTTACTCTATCCAGACGTTCATGGCTGCCATTCAAAAAGGTAAAATTGCGCAATCGGGCGGTGCAGGCTTACCCTGTAGCCTAACAACTGAATCAGCTCGTACGCTGCATGTCTACCTATACCTCACAATAAACCGTTCCATCACCACTCACTTGATGGTGTTTTCACGGTCGCCGACATTTGCGCCAGCATCTCAACCAATCAGCAATCAAGATCGCTGCACTAGCGCGCTTTCCCTGCGTCAACTAGCGCCCATGCAACGCGAAAGTAAACAGTGCGCGCTGCCTTCAAAACAACGACTCCACATCCGCCTTCTCTCCCCCATTGCCTCCCTTCGACTGCCCCCTCGCCTTCTCGCCGCTCAAATCACATGCTCAGGCCATTTACCAACACATAACCTTTCCCCCGTCTTGCGAGTCGACGCTGCTCGCTAGGATCGCAATGAGCGACTCCTTAATGGACGACTCCGTCTTTGACGACGGCGCAAGCTCAGATTTCGCCCCGCCTGCAAAGCCGGCCAAGGCTGCAAAGGTGGCAAAGGCCAAACCTGCTGCTGCACCAAAGAAGGCAGCGGGTCCTGCGAAACCTCGCGGACGACCTCCAGGCGCAACCGCAAAGCCCAAGGCGAAAGCGGTGCCCAAGAAGAAGCGCCCAGATTCCGATGACGAGAATTCCGACATCGACATGGCCGATGCACCGCGAGACGATGAAGACGATTCGCTCCTTGCCGATACTCCCCCAAAGCAGAAGAAGGCTCCTGCACCCAAGAAGAGCAGTGGCAAGCCGCTCGCGGACATTGCAAACGAGAGTTTTGGGATGGATGGTGCAGAGGACGTGCCAATCTCCAAACCGAAAAAGGGAGGGGCCAGCGACAAATACCAGATGTTGACCCATTTGGAGCACATCATGAAGCGCCCAGATACATATATCGGCTCTGTCGAGCGACAAACCGACAAGATGTGGGTCTACAACTCCTCGACCGAGTCTATGGAGTTCCGCGATGTTACCTATGTACCCGGTCTGTACAAGATCTTTGACGAGATTCTTGTGAATGCGGCAGACAACAAGCAAAACGATAAGAACATGAGCGAGATCCGAGTCACGCTCGACCGGGAGACGGGCGAAATCTCGATCAAAAACGACGGCAAGGGTATTCCCATTGAGATACACAAGGTAGGCTTGCCGATCTCCTCAACTCGAGCTCCACTAACCAGCATAGGAACACGGTATCTATGTCCCAGAAATGATCTTTGGTCACTTGCTCACTTCGTCCAACTACGACGACAACCAGCAAAAGGTCACTGGTGGTCGGAACGGTTACGGTGCAAAGCTCTGCAACGTCTTTAGTACCGAATTCACAGTCGAGACGGTCGACTCGAAGCAAAAGAAAAAGTACAAGCAGACTTGGACGGATAATATGAGCAAGATGGGCAAGGCCAAGATTGTCGACTTCAAGTCGAGCGACGACTACACCAAGGTGAGCTGGAAGGCGGATTACGACAGGTTCGGTATGACTGGCATCGACGACGACTTCGAGGCCATGGTCAAGCGCAGGACGTACGACATTGCTGGAACGTTGCGCGGCGTCAAAGTCTACCTCAATGGCGACCGAGTCAAGGTCACGAGCTTTGCAAAATACATGGAGATGTACACGAAATCCATTGCCCGCGAGCAGGGCAGGAGCGAAGATGACAAGGAAGCCAACGTCATCATCACCGACAAGCACGACCGCTGGGACATTGGTTTTGCCGTATCTGACGGTGCCTTCAACCAGGTCTCATTTGTCAACTCGATCGCGACGACTTCTGGAGGTACTCACGTCAATTACATAGCAGAGCAGATTGTCGACAGGCTCTTGGCGATCGTCAATAAGAAGAACAAGGCTGCCGTGAAGCTTAAGCCAGCGCAGATTAAGAACCACATCTTCTTGTTCGTCAACTGCTCGATTGTGAATCCGGCCTTTACCTCGCAGACCAAGGAACAATTGACGACAAAGTCGAGTCAATTTGGCAGTAAGCCTGTACTGAGTGACAAGTTCTTGAAGGCGATTGAGAAGACAGACGTCATCCAGAATATTATGCACTTTGCCCAGCAAAAAGCCGACCAGATGATGAAAAAGACGGACGGCAACAAGCGCAATCGAATCAGCAATGCGAAGCTTACGGATGCCAACAAGGCCGGGACCAAGGACGGTCACCTGTGCACGCTTATTCTTACCGAGGGTGAGTCGGCCAGTGTGCTTGCCTTGGCGGGACGAGCTGTTGTGAATCAGGATCTGTTTGGTGTCTTTCCGTTGCGTGGTAAGCTGCTCAATGTCCGAGACGCCACCGTCGACCAGATCATGAAGAATGCGGAGATTCAGAATATCAAAAAGTTCATGGGCCTTCAACACAAGAAGGAGTACACGGTATCCGACATGAAGAGCCTGCGATACGGTCATCTCATGATCATGACGGATCAGGATCACGACGGTAGCCACATCAAAGGCTTGCTCATCAACTTCCTCCAGTGCCAATTCCCCAGCTTGCTCAAGATCCCCGGCTTTCTTCTTGAATTTATCACGCCCATTGTCAAGGTCTGGAAGGGCGATCCAAAGAACCCCCGCAGCCTGAAGAGCTTCTTCTCCATGCCCGAGTATGAGGAGTGGAAAGAGCAGCACAAGCATGAGAAGGGCTGGGAGCACAAGTACTTCAAGGGATTGGGAACCAGTGACATTCCCGATGCCCAGATTTACTTCAAGGACCTCGACACCCACATGAAGAGCTTCCAAGTCATGCGTGAGGAAGAGGAGAAGCTCATCGAGCTGGCCTTCTCCAAGAAGAAGGCTGATGCACGAAAGGAGTGGCTGCGCGACTTTGTTCCCGGCCAGCATCTGGATCTTACCACACAAGAGATTTCTTATGACGACTTCGTCAACAAGGAGCTCATTCTCTTCTCCATGGCCGACAATTTGCGTTCCATTCCATCTGTCATCGACGGTCTCAAACCCGGTCAGCGAAAGGTCATGTATACCTGTTTCAGACGCAACATCAAAAAGGATGTCAAGGTCATCGATCTCGCAGGTTCCGTCTCTGGTACCACGGATTACGCACACGGTGAGTCATCGATGCAAGGTACGATTGTCGGGCTCGCTCAGAATTTTGTCGGCACCAATAACATCAATTACCTGGAACCGAGTGGTAACTTTGGTTCGCGACTCAAGGGTGGTGCCGATGCTGCGAGCGCCAGGTACATTTACACACGTCTGTCGCCTTTTGCTCGACGTATCTTCCATGCCCACGACGATGCCCTGCTGAAGTATGGCGAGTCAGATGGCAAACCGATTGAGCCTGAGATGTACATTCCCGTGCTCCCGACAATCCTCATCAACGGTTCTAGTGGTATCGGCACGGGGTGGAGTTCTGAGATTCCCAACTTCAACCCCATGGAGATTATCGACAATATTAGGATTCGCATGAAGGAAGGCGCTACCAAGGAGGACATGCGGCCAATGGTTCCATGGTACAAGGGCTTCACCGGCAGGACCGAGGAACTTGGCGAAAATCGTTATCAGTTCACGGGCACCATCCGCCAGACCGGGGACAACGAGGTTGAGGTCACGGAGCTTCCCGTTCGATACTGGACTCAGGACTTCAAGGAGAAGCTTGAAGAGATCATCAAGGCCGATAAGACACCATCCTTCATCAAGGACTACATCGACTACAATACTCCCGATCGTGTGCACTTCATCATCAAGATGGAGGACAAGTACATGGCCGCAGCTCTTGCCAAGGGACTAGAAGAAATGTTTAAGCTCTTCAAGCCGCAGTCGACGACCAACCTCGTTGCCTTCGATGCCCATGGCCGCATCCACAAGTACGCAACAGTCCTGGATATCATCGAAGAGTTCTACCATGTTCGTCTGCGATACTACGAGAAGCGAAAGCAGCACCAGCTCGAGGTCATGCACAAGGAGCTGAGTAAGATGACCAACCAGGCCAAGTTTATTCAGATGATCATCGATGGCAAGCTGGTTGTGTCGAAGAAGAAGAAGCTTGCACTGGTGCAGGAGCTGAAGAAGCTTGGCTTCACACCCATCCCAAAGGTTGATGATGCTAAGAAGGCTGGTGAGATTGACGATGTTCAAGAGGATGAGGAAGATACCGATGAGACCGAGGCCGGCGCGTCGGCCAGCGATTATGACTACCTCTTGGGTGTAAGTACTTTGTGTTTTTTTGTCGAGGTTCACGACTAATGTATAGTAGATGGCCATCTGGTCCTTGACCCAGGAGCGAGTCGAGAAGTTGCTAAAGCAGATTGGCGAGAAAGAGGAGGAGATCGACACCCTCATCAAGCTCTCTCCCAAGGACATCTGGAATGTTGACCTTGATGCGTTTGTCGAAGAGTGGAACACGCAGCTCGAGCAAGAGAACAAACGTAAGAAGAAGGTCGCCAGCATCACTCGTCGCGCATCTCAGAAGCTTGGTCTTGCCAAGGGCAAGGGCAAGAAGAAGAGAAGGATGGATGGCAGTGACTCGGACGATTCCGATGACGACTTTGGCCCTGTCAAGAAAAAGGCAAAGCCGAAGAAGGAGGGTCTACTGAGCTATTTGCAACAAAGTACCCGGCCGGTAGCCAAGAAGCCCTCAGCACTAGATGCTTTGAAAGCAAGTAGTGCGCTTGGAGGACCACAGAAACAGGGCACGTTGTTATCACATCTTGCTAAGAAGGAGGCTACGCCACAGACGGATGGAGCGTCGGATGATAGACCTGGTACATCCGACTCTGCTACTGCTCCCAAGCGAGGCCGACCGACAGCAGCTAAACCTGCAAAGAAGCCGTTGAAGGTCATCGAGTCCGACGATGATGACGACGATACAGACGTCTTCGCTGCCGTCGCCAAGGAGGCTACTACTAAACCACGGACAATCACAAACTCACGCACCGCTCGTCCCGCAGCCAAGGCCGTTTCCAAATACAACGCCGGCGACGACAGCGATTCCGACGAGGACGATATGTTGGGAGACGTCAGTCTGATGGTCAAGGGCATCGGCGGCAGCAGCAACGGTGCCCCAATGTTCAAGACTTCCAACGCCACCCTTCCCGTCAACGGCACCGCTCAGGCTTCCAAGGCTAAGAAGGCTTCTCCCGCCGACCTCAGCGACGACGACACTACCAACTATGAAGGCCTGGCTCAATCATCGCCCCAACGCCCACCTCCCCGCAACATCAACGACACCATCAACTCGGACGACAGCGATGACTTCTCCGTCGCGCCCAAGAAAACCCTCGCAAGCAAACCCGCCCCCAAACTCAAGGCTCCCGTCTCCAAAGCCGCGCCCAAGACTAAACCTGCACCCACCGTCGCCCCCGTCAAGAAGCCCTCCGTCCTCAGCCCCGCCGCCAAAGCGTACGCGAGAAAAATCCTGGAAAACGGAAGAGCACCTCCAGCTAAGCCCGCTGCACCCAAGCCCAAGGCCAAGAAACCTGTGCCCGTGGACTCGGACGATGACATGGAGGACGCGGATGCTATTGCTGATAGTATCCTCTCTGATGACGATCAAGAGCCTACGCCCAAGGCTCGTGCCCCGGCTGTGAGACCGGGACGGAGGGCTGCGGCTGCGAAGCCGGCACGGTATGTGGTTAGTGATGATGAGGAGGAGGATGGGGATGAGGCGAGTGAGGCGAGTTTTGGGGATAGTGAGTAGGGATTAGGGGTAGGGGAGTTTTTGTTGAAGAGGTTGGGATGGAATTGGAAGGGGGGGATATGTTGAAGGGCGGGGGTGGATGGGTATTGCATTGCATCAAGGTGGCGTGGTTGTAAGCTGGGTCGTGGTGATGGTGTTTTTCTTGCTCTCCTCTTTCCGGTTCTCTTTCAATATACTTTGGGATATGCGATCCGATGGGATGGAATTGATTGGAATCGCCTATGGCTGTTTGTTTTCTTTTTCCTTTTCCTTTTCCCGTCCGTGGTGGGGTGGGAATTGGATTCGGATTCGGATTTAGATTTCATGGGGGTTTAAACGGGCGTTTGGGGGGTTATGGCGTTTGCGCCTTTTTTTTTGGCGGGAGTGGGAGGGGGAGGGAGGGGATAGGGATGGGGATGAGGAGTGCATGTATAGTAGTAGTGTTGATGTGAATCTTGATTGAAAGTTTTCTTTTGAGATGTTGTTGATCTTGAGCTTATTCTCGTCTTGAAGTGATCTGAGCTGTCGGCTTGATGAAGCGTCTACGGTAGGTACCGGTACAGTAGTTATCCCTGTTCTAGCAGTGTGTTTATGGTTGTAGGGTGGAGGTTGGTTGGTTTAGCGTGGGAGGGTGTGAAGTGGGGGATTTGATTGAAGGTCGAAGGTGAGTGTAGTGTACTACTAGGGCAGTGTAGAACTCTGGCGATACAAGAGCTTTTGATTCTAGTTGGATACCCTACGAGAGATTCAGAGTGACATCAAACTGGTCGGTGCCATGCAATGCTCCCTTTTGGCAGCTCATGTATGATTGATGCATGAGCATCGTCCGGGTATTCTCCCATGAAACGAAATTGGGAAAAAGAGAAACATGTTTCTGGGTTTTTTTCCCTTGTTCTCGCGCTACTTGCCGTGTACGCAAAGCATGAAGGAGATGATCCATGTCTGCAGACGAAACGAGAGGATTGATGGAATTCTACCTAGCCTAGCTCTTCGCTATTTCTACCTCTGACAATTGACACACGGTTCCGAAATGCATCATTAAGAGCACCTGCCCATAGTTGTATATGCACCTGGCGTAGTTCCTTTGGGTTGCCTAATTGTTACGTCCCACAGAGTACATTTGTGATTAGGCGCCTTGCATGGCTGTGAAAACAATTAGGTTGTTGCTTTGTTTATTTTGTTGATGATGGCTGCTTACGCTATCCTCGAGGCAAGGAACGGGTTCATTCGGAGTGCGAGAATCTTTTCCATCTACCTTGGCGAACTCGTAGCAGGTCCCTGATGCGTCGTCTAATTTGCATGCCTGTTTTAGGTCAGCGGCTTTTGTATGTGTTGTAGGGTAGAACACCATATTTACCCAAAATGTTGATTGAGCCATGGCAAGACCAGCAAGCAGGGCGGAAAGTGTGGTAGTGGATAGCTTCATCTTGATTGACAAATAGAAGAAAAGGACCTAGAGGGATAAATAGAATAGGTCTTGAAGAGGATGATGATGTTGTAGTATATGCAGGAATAGACTTGAACAACGGATTGAAGGAAGAAATGCACGTAGGGCAGGGTATACTATATGTATTTTTAGAGCCATTGGGTCATCCCAACAGAAGACTGCGCAGCATGAATTAATTTTTTGTAGTAGGCCCGATCGCTCGTATACATGAAACGGAGCCCGGGCTGCTGGCTGACTATAGGTGTGTACTAGGATTACTTTTGTATTAAGAATATAAATAGTACTGTCGGTCCGCGGCGGGTCTTGCTTACACAGGGGGTGTAAGGCAGTGCATGCAGAGATAAGAAGTCCC